GGCGGGGAGGGCAGCACAAGGACGTGGCCCCTGCATGGCGCAGGCAGCATCGTACCGCGTACCTCAGCTGTCCTCACCGGGACCCCTGCCTCCTGAGCTGCGCAGGAGAATGGAAGGAAGAAAACTTTTGTAGTTTTCAAGCATGAATCATTAGCGATCCAGCTTCCACTTGGACCGCAGCAAAGCGACCTGAGGTGATTCTTGGTGACGGGGAATCTTCCAGGATCCCTGGGCGTCTGGAACCCTCTGTTGCAGAAGGCGTTTGAGTTCAGCAGCTCCAAATCACGCACTTAGCGTGTGTTTAACAGTTACAGAGCAGAGGACAGGCTGACAGTGCTTATCACTGTCACATGCCAGAACTCCTGCCTCTCCAGATCCATTCTGGGCAGGGATGGGAGTCAGGGTGCCGGACATAGCCTATTCTCCCCTCAGAACACTGCCCAGCCCCAGATATCGCCCTCATCCTGCTGTGTGCAGCAGAGCCGATCTGTATCCTGGCTTGCCCATCACCTCCCCGACTGTAAACCCTGTCCAGAACTGGGAAGTTCCTCACTGTATTGGCAATGAGCAAAACTACCAAAATTTACATGATGAAATGCTGTCATTACTATAATGCTGCACGGAGCCAGCAGAGCTTTGCCAAGGACAGTGACAGACTCAGGCCCACCTGGATGTAAATGTGGCTTCCTGAGAGACTTTGAGGGACACCGGTTGCTGCGGTGCCTGATGGACCAAAGCAGCCACACAGGCTGCTGAAAGGCAGTTTGGAAGCACAGTGTGTGCATGCCCTGCACGCTGCTCCTGGCAGGAGAGCATCCTCCTCACCACAATGTTAGAACCAGCAGCTCCTTTCTAAGTAATGCCGCTCATCCTCTTGTCTCTCCTCCCAGATCTCCCAGATAGGTAAAAATCAGGTGGAGTACAGGACTGGTTTTTCTTCATTGTGTTTCTAGCTCTTTAATATTTCAAATAAATGTTCAATTTTTCTGGTTCCACCCTGAGATATACAGTTCAGATAAGGGAAAAGTAGAGAAAAACAGAGAGGCAGAAGGATTTTTAGCACACAGGATGTCCCATCACTGCAGCGCAGGATGGTCCAGTGAGACAACCAAGTCATGGCTGGGTGCTGGAGTCACCTGTGGCTCTGTGCTGTTGGGACATGGAGTGGCAGCAGTTCTGTGTGTGTTGCTTTGTAGGCAGTGATTGCTCTTGTGCCCTCCCCACCAACTCACTTCCCTGGCATTGCCGGTGTGATGGCACAATCCCGCAAGGACAGGGAGGGCAGAGCCTGGCTTCATGTGCCCACAGCATCTTTCTCTCTGCAGCAGCCCCACCTTTCTCCCACATGTGCCTCAGCACACACTCCCAGCCTCCCACCCCAAATGTGCCCAAATGTCACTGTAGCTGTGCCGAGACCTGAAATTAAGGTCCAGAGCAGGAAAGTTGTGCAGTCCATGTCCCAGCAGATATCACACAACAAGGGCTAAGTAGAGTCACAGCAAAGCATCCTGTTGCTTTTCCCTAAGCTGCCACAAACAATTTCAAAGCTACAGGCTGGATGCTGTCATGACACTGTAACACAGAGCTGCATTTGCTCCACCCGAATCAAACTCTCCTTGCGTTCAGCAAGCGCCACATCCAAAGTGGCATGGCTGCACTTGCCTGGCTTAGTGGCTTTGACTTGATCTACCCAAATCTCTTCCAAAGCTGTGAAAGAACAGAGGGGCCTCATCAGGAAGCTGGTGGGGACACCAGGAGTGACAAGACCCAGAATCTCACGCCCTGGAGAAGATCCTGGGAGGTCTGTGAGGATGTGAGGCCCTGCTCAGTGCCAGGTGCTGCGCTGTGCTGTGAGGGAGGCGATTGCCCTCATCGATAGCATCCATATCAAAGCACCCAGGGCAAGAATAAACAAACATCTTTGGCACTGTGCTCGTCTTCCATGAGCCAAAAGGCAGGTGTGTGTGTGTGTGTGTGAGTGTGAGTGTGTGTGGATAGCAAGTTTTCCAGCCGTTTCCCTGAACTCAGCCCTGATGTTGCAAGAACTGTCTAGCTGTGAAAACACGGCCTCGCCTTGATTTATGCCGCTTGTGGGTAAGATGACTAAGAAGAAGGGGGAAAAAAAAAAAAGAACGGAACAGGAACAGAAATCCCAGTGGGAGCATGATGAGGGTGTGTACAGATTTGGTGGGACAGTCAGGTTGGGGAAACTGCAGCCAGAGCTTCAGGCAGTAGGAAGAGGAGACCACAAAACCACATGCTATGTGTCATGATGTTCCACCTAAGATACAAAAGCATGCCACAAGTTTTATGAAGGCAACTCTTTGGTAACAGTAAAGAAATTAATTCTTTTGTGAAATTGTAACATTTTTTTTCTCCTTCAGATGAGTTCCATATGTCCTCATGATTTTTACTTTTAAACACAGCAGTTTAGAACAAATCTTAAGTAACATTTAGCCTGCGTCTAAAGTAAATATTTACAAAAACATTAAATAATGGTGCTGATCTTTGGAAAATGTGTATTGCTCCCTACCTGCTACTGTTTTTTGCCTATCTGGACTAACAGAGAGGCTTTGTAATAAAGCCCAAGGCTGTAAAAGCAGTATAACAGTGTGATTAGAAGTAATCAGGTGTAAAATACTGACTATTAAAAACTGTGAAGAGAAAGGAGGGCTAAGCTGAAATGGAAGGTTACGTTAATTTGGTTTTAACAAATTTTAAGAAAATTAATAGGAGAATTGGCTTTTAATCTTACAAAAGCTGTATTATTTTTGTGGAAGCATAATAAATAGTTATAGCTGTTATTTATGTCATGTATCATTTTCAAAGAACCTTACTAAATAAATATTAATCATTTCACCAACCACTTAAAGGCAACCACTTTAGGGGTGTGGTGAGGCAACAACTTACCAAGTGAGTTGTGCTTAAACAGGAAGTGAAGACAGCCAGATTCAATGAGGAGTCCGTGTGGGTATAAAAAATATTTGTGGAGGCTTTAACAATATGTTTAATGAGGTAAAACAAAACTCCATGGAATAGAGGGTAGTTTTCTTTGTTAATGAGAAGCATGCATTGAAACTTGTAATTACAGTGAGTTTCCAACAGGTAAAGAAGATTATTAGATCTGAGAGAAAACAGCTTGTGAGGGATCAGTATTTGCATGCAGGGAAGTGTAACATTTTTTTAAAGAATGTTCTCTTCTCTGCTCACCTTCCTCACAGGAAAAACACCATATTGCTGTCCTGTGGTGTAGCAGTATTTCCCTGTCTCCACCTTGGTGTACTTTCATTTGAAGCCACCCGGTGAATTTCAGTCTCTGCACTTGTTAAAACCATCCTGCAGTAAGGAACCCCTCACTGGAGTGGCTAATGGCTCTCCCCAAACCTCTCCTGTGTCAAAACTGGAAGAGTAAGAACACAACTTTTCCTTTTTCCATGAATGAAGCTGAAGGTGTCTTGTGCTTCTGCCAGAGATGGTAGATGAGATTCAATCTTCTT